AAGGGAGCAGTCAGGTTACCCAGATGTAGGGGTCCAGGCCCCAGAAAGACGTGTCTCGCCGCGGTGCTTGAATCCGATCCCTGAGTTCTTTGATCCTGGCGGTAACTATACCTGATTGGTTAACAAAGTAACAACATTCTTCATTTAAGTATAGGCAGGTCCCCCCTTCGGAAACATGGTTGTTTGGGGCTGGGATGACAGTGTCGGCATGGGCCCTTAAGAGAGCTCTGAGGAGAGTGAGGCAAGGTAGATACTATAAAAGAGGCGGGGAAATGGTCGGAAGGCTATGATTTATAAGAAAGGGCCGGCCGTATAGTAATTCGAATGGGCTTAAGCCCGAAGGCCTGCGGGGCATAGCCTGGATTCTGGTGAGAGCCAGGGGCAGAAGTGCGGACCAGGAAAGGCGGGTTTCTAGGTAAGTTTGGTGAGTTGGACTTTGAGCAGCCCGTTGACCTTTTTTACCTTACCCAATGACAGTGGGTGGTATGGGATGTGAAGTTTCCAGGTTATGTTGAGGCTCTCAGCTACCTGTTGGGTTACACTGGAGATGAAGGCGGGTCTGTTGTCTGACTGGAGGGTCCGGGACAATCCGAACCTCGGGATGATGTGCTTGATGAGTATTGTAGCCACCACGTCTGCTGTCTCCCGGGCCGTGGGGTATGCCTCGATCCAGCCTGTGAATGTATCAACCAAGGTTAATAGGTAGTGAAAGGTTTTATGGCGAGGCATGTGAGTGAAGTCCAGTTGCCAATCTTCCCCCGGCTGATGACCTCGGAGCTGATGGTTAGGCCCTGGTGTGCGGATTCCTCCTTGTGAATTCACAGCCGAACAGGTTTTACAGGCCCTGTGGACAACTTCGATTACCTTAGATAAGGAAGGATGATAGAACAATGGCTGAAGAAATTGGTGGAGAGCCTTTGGGCCAATATGGAGGGATCGGTGGATGTCAGTAATTAAGGTGTGCCAGATTGCCAGGTAGGGCAATCCTGTCCTGAATGTAGATCCACCCCTTATCTCCAATCTTTCCTCCCCTTGCCTGGAGGGCTTGTGTTTCCTTTGTAGAGTAGGAAGGCTGGTGAGGGGTGTTAAGAAAGAGGATAGGAGACGCAGGGGTATTTAGGGCCATTTGTCTGGCCACTGAGCCTGCCCTGTCGTTACCTAGGGAGACCAGATCCTTGGCCATTTGGTGGCCTGGACAGTGAACAACTGCTACCTCAGCGGGCAGACTAAGGACCTCAAGCAACTTGGTGATGAGGGGTCCATTAGCTCTAGGGGTGCCCTTGGTCATTAGGAACTCCCGTTCTTGCCAAAGAGCAGAGTGTGTGTGAGTTATGAGATAGGCATATTTTGAGTCAGTGTAAATAGTGACTCGTTGTCCCTTCGACAAGTGTAATGCCCTGGTGAGGGCTACGAGTTCAGCCTTCTGGGAAGTGGTTCCGATTGGGAGGGGAGCCGTCTCTAATACCGCATCCGTGGTGACCACAGCGTAAGCAGCATCTTTGGCCATCTGAGGCCAGGAGGGAACTGCCGTCCACGAAGAGTACGCGGTCAGTGTTGGATAGTGGTTGATCAGAGAGACTGGGATAGAGAGGAGTGAGGTCCTCTATAAGTTGTAGGCAGGAATGAACGGGTTCCGGGGTGGGCGAGGGTATAGGCAATAAAGTTGCAGGGTTTAAGTGGGAGGAGGTAGAGAGAGAGATATGCGGGTTTTCTAGGAATAGCAGATGGAATAGCTGGAGACGAGAAGGAGTCAGATGGGCCAGGGATCGGTGGCTAAGGAGGTCTGTGAGTCGGTGGGGAGAGTAGACCATGATGGGCTGCCCTAAGGTCAGTTTGAGGGCCTCCTTTTAAGAGAAGCAGCTGCTGCTAGGGCCCTGAGGCAGGGCTGCCATCCCTGGGCGGTGACATCCAGTTGCTTGGACAGGTAGGCTATAGCCCTATGCATAGGCCCCACCAGTTGTGTTAGGAGGCCGATGGCCGAGCCAGAGCGCTCATCAGTGTAGGGATGGTATGGTTTAGAGAGATTGGGTAGGGCTAAGACTGGCCTGGTGGTAAGGCGGTCCCTTAGTTTAGAGAATGAGTGGCGGATCGAAATGGGATCAGTTAGGGGACCCTGGGGGTTCTCCTTAGCCACCTGGTACAGAGGACGGGCCAGGATAGAGAAATTTGGAACCCAATGTCTGAAGAACCCAACCAATCCAAGAAAAGAGAGTATTTCATCCGCTGTTTGGGGAGGTTGGAGTTCTTGGAGGAGTCGTATGCAGTCCCCAGTAAGAGACTTAGAAGTGGGAGTCAGAAGTATGCCCAGATAGGTAACTGAAGGGACACACAATTGGGCCTTAGAGGGGGTGACTCGATATCCCTTGGCCACCAGGAAGTTAAGTAGGGCGGAGGTGTCGTCCTGGGAGGCCGAGAGGGAGGGGCTACAGAGGAGGAGGTCATCCACATATTGTAGTAGAGTACTGGCCTTAAGGACGCACTGCTGTTTAAGTCTGTAGTTAAGGCCTGGCCGAGAATGTGGGGGCTGTCCCTGAACCCCTGGGGTAGGACAGTCCAAGTTAGTTGTCCAGAAGCGTGCATGTCGGGATCCTCCCAGGTGAAGGCAAAAAGAAAATAGGAATCAGGGTGCAAGGGGACGGTGAAAAAGGCGTCCTTTAGGTCCAGTACTGTAAAGTGAGAGGTGTTTGGGGGAACGTGAGACAATAGGGTGTAGGGGTTAGGAACGACTGGATGAAGGGGGACCACGGTCTCGTTGATAAGCCTAAGGTCTTGTACCAGTCGATAAGCCTCTGAGGGCTTGCGTACTGGGAGGATAGGGGTGTTACAGGGGGAACTGATGGGGATCAGGAGTCCCTGACGTTTAAACCGTTCTATGATAGGTTTCAGGCCCCGGCGGTGGGCTAAGGAAATAGGAAACTGAGCTCGAGAGGGAAACTTGGAGTTATCCTTAAGCTGTGCTTTAACCGGGGTAAGGTGGGAAGCGATGATGGGCTCCGAGGTGTCCCACACCCAAGGATCTACAGTGGGTAGGTCATCTGGAGTGGGGGTCGAGGGAGTGGAAAGGTGTAGGATGAGACGGGTTGAGGTGGAGGGAAGGGAGGAAGGGGAGAGGCAGATAGTTGCCCTCAGTTTCTGGAGAATGTCCCTCCCCAGTAGAGGGACCAGGCAGGAAGGAATCGCTAGGAATGAGTGGGAGAAGGGGAAACCATCCAGGCTACAGGTGAGGGGAAGGGTCACCCTAGGATTGGAGGAGGTCCCATCGATCCCCATAACAGTAATTGGTGAGGTTCGAGTAAGTCCCAAGTAGGAAGGCAGAACAGAGTAGGTAGCCCCCGTGTCCAGCAGAAAGGAGATGGACTTACCCGCTACCTGGAGCATAACCCTAGGCTCGGCCTGGGTGAGAGAGGTGGCTGAGTCTGGGCTTCATCAGTTGTCCTGCAATCCAAGCAGTTGAAAGGCCGGACTTACTGTCTCGGGGGGTCCCCCACATTGAGGCGCTGAAGATACCCCAAGGTTAAGGCAGTTGGATTTCCAGTGGCCCATCAAATGGCGTTGAGGGCAAGGCCGAGTTGGCGGCTTTGGATTGGGGCACTGGCGAGCCCAATGTCCCTTGGCCCCGCATTTGAAACAGGCCCCCGGGGGGATGCGATGGGTTGCCCCTCTCTGTTGGCTCCCGGAGACGGCTGGCCTCAGGCTGCTACCAAGGCTTGGGTCTGCAACTGAACCTTTTGCTGGAGTCTGGTTTGTCGTTTAAGCTCAGCCGCCTCCTCACGGGAATTAAAGACCTTAAATGCCATTTTCACCAAGTCAGAAATGGGGGTCTGAGGGCCCTCCTCAGCCTTTTTTAACTTTCTCCATATATCCGACGCCGATTGAGAGATAAAATGAGTAGCCAGTACCGTGGCCCCTGCAGGAGAGGCGGGGTCCAAGCGAGTGTACTGGGTTAAAGCCTCAGTCAATCGGTTAAGAAACATGGCGGGGTTTTTGTCAGGGGCCTGGACAATCTCCCTAATCTTGTCATAATTAACGGCCTTATTAGAGGCTGCCAGCATGCCGGCTATGAGACGTTGGACCATATGGTCGCGGCGCGGGCAGCCATCTTGGCCATTCTGATAATCCCAACCTGGTTCTACAGCTGGAACCGCCTGGGCTCCAACTGGCATGGCAGCATCAGTGAGATGGACCTGATCTGCGTGCTCCCGGGCAGCAGCCTGGATGCATTCCCTCTCCTCTGTGGTGAGGGTGGTGGTCTGGACCACATGTAAATCATGCCAGGTGAGGTCATAGGCTTTGGCCAGATATTGGAATTCTTTGATAGAGTTATCAGGATTGGCCGAAAAGGAGCCCAAACGTTTCTCAATTTGGGAAAGGTCTTGTAGAGAGAAGGGCGCATGGACTCGAACAACTCCCTCAGCTCCAGCAACCTCCCTTAGGGGGGCAGACTAAATCAGGGGAGGGTTTTCGAGCCCTAGTGCAGGTGGAGATGGGAGGGGAGGATGGAGGGGACGTGAGGGGAGGTGGGGCGCATCAGGAGCGAACTCAGGTTTTGGGGGTTGAGGGGATGAGACGGGGTCGGGGTGGAAGGGACCGAAACGGGGGTGGTTGGAGCAGGGGGGCTAGGGGGTGTAGGGAGAGAGGGACCTTGGGGTAGGGGATAGTGGTAAGGAGGAGGAGGAGGAGGAACCGGGGGCCCTCTTGTCGGTGGGTGGGTGAAGCTCTCCGGAGGTTCAGAGAGGGGAGAGAGGGAGGAGAGGTCCAGGTCTTTGGGAACAGTGGGTGGCAGGGTAGGGGGAGGGGTAGACGAGGGTGCCGGTTCAGAAATCCTGAACATAAGGGACCTTGGCCCATCTGCCTTGGTGTCTGCTGGGGTTATTTAGGTCCACGAGAATCCGATAATTAAACGTGCCTTCCAGAGTCCATTGGGACTGATTTAAGATTGGCCAACAGGCCTAAAACACCCCCGGGATGTTTTAGGGTCGAATTTGGATTGGGAGGTCCCCATGATTCGCTGCCGGGCAACCCGAGGGCTGGAAGAAGGCGTCCCCTCGTCCACCACTGGGTTGCGGAAAAACTGTGTCGACTGCCGTAGAGGTTAGGATGTCTCCCAGCCTCTCAGAGTCACGGAGGTCACCTGGTGACCGGCGGGGTCCGCCCTAAAGCGGCCGCGATTAGGGCAGGGCTTTCCGGAAGGAGGCGCGGAATCGGGGAAAACTCACCACGGCTTCAGAATTGGCGTTCGGAAAGGTGTGTCTGGGTCTGGCTAGGGAAGGGAGAGAGCCTCCCCACTGGAGTGGGGGCTCAATCTCCTTCCCGGGTTTCGGCACCAAATGTAAAGTTTTTTTCCGGCGAGGTAAACACAACACCAGGCAAAGTGGGTGCAAGGCAAGATTTATTAAAGGCATCTCCGGCGCAGTTTCAGGGCTCAGGTCTTGTGGTGGGAACTTTCACCATCTTAAGTAGCCCTTTCTGCCAGCCGAACATCTACTAGGGTAAATTGTAATTCAGTTGGTCACCTTGCATCACTGTGGAGTTTCCTGTGTGTGTTACAATCTCATTGGCCACCTGTGCATGGCCAGGCCTGACCGCATGGCCTTTGCCCTTAAAAGCTAGACTGTGAAACAGAGAAGGGTCGCCCTTCGCTTTGTATCAGTCTCGCTCCTTTAATCACGAACACATTATTGGGGCATAACAACAAACATCCCCCCTTCTAAGGATTCTCAGTAGCATGCTGCTTTACCTACTTCATATCCAATATTTTATATGGATTTCCCCCTTGCTTCCCCTATCTACATAACACTACAACATTCATGATCAAAATGCAGTTTCATTTTACCAACTATGACAGATTTTCCAAGGAATCTGTTCTGTGGAGGAAAGGGTAAATGGAGTTTGTGATAAATGAAGAAATAAGGACCAGAGTGATGCATATTTGTGAATTTCTCATACCCTTATCAGGTTTGGGTTCTCTTTGTTGCAGATTTCTCCATTGTGGTTGGAGTGCTGTTTCCTATGGCTGTCATATCGGTGGTGGTTGCTATAGTAATCTGGCACCAAAGTACCAGAAGAAAGCAGAAGGAAGTCCAGAGGTAGCCTTCTATCTTGCTTTGGGAACTTTTTGACCTCTAATTTATTTAAATTCAAGGATAGGGCCCACATTCTCAAATTTAAGTGTTTTACTTCAAATACTCAAAAATAAGTACAGATATATTTTTCTTGGACCAGAGGCTGGGTATCAGTTTTACTGAGAAATCCTTCACAGCAATACATGTATTGTTTTTATGTTAATCTCAGTATTTATAAATAATAAATAAATAATAAATAATAAAAATTATAAACTCTCAATAAAGGTTTTATACCCATTATAAGAATACACTATGTAGCATTTATTGGTCACTATCCTTATGACAAGGGCTATGCTGAGTTTTTTTACATTCATTATCTCTAATCTTCACAAGAATGCTGTGAGGTAGTAACTATTATTTCCATTTTATACATTTATTATTAATAAATGTATATTTATTAATTGTATATTAATCCTTAGAACAGTCTTATAAAATCAAGCACTTCACACTTTTTCCTAAGTGAAAACAAAGGCTCAGAGAGGTTAACAAATATGTTCCAAGTCTTATACCTAAGCTGATGGAATCTTGATTTGCACCTACATTTGTTAGTCTTTCAAACATGGTCTTGACAATACAGTATCTTTCTAACCGTTTATAAAGACTGCCTTATTCATATATAATGAGTTTCCTAAATATTGAATGAATAAAATAAATCATTAATTTAATGACATAATAGTTTAGATAAACACTGATTCAACACCATCATTATTAGGAATAATAATTAATAATAATAATAATAATGCTCTGAAGAGAATCTAGAAGAAAATTAGTGGTGGTGATTATGAATTCCAGGACAAGGAGGCCTTAAGAATGTCCTAGAGAGCAGAAGAAAGCCCAGTCAATGTCCAAAGATGACTCAATGGGCAAAGAAAATTGGCAAACTTCTTTTGAGTGTCCTCACCATGGTGAAGAAACTGTTAAGTCCATTTAAATGGTATGCTTTCACACACAGGCCACTGTCTACTACTCACAACAGGCCTCGCAGACAGAAGAGGAACCCACAGACAGTGAAGGATGTTCAGCCCCAAGAGGTGAACCATAGTTTGTCTTGTGCTTGCCTCGTGCACCAGTTTGTGATCTTGTCCTGACCACCTACCTATCTGTCATTCCTACTCAGCATTGTTTTACAAATCCAGTCCTCTAGTTAGTATGTAGCAAGAATTTGGGGCTCTCTAACTACCCATTTGGAAAATTCTCCTTTGCCTTTTTTTTTAGGTGAAAAAGAGTCTTCCTAAAATTCAGAGGCTGCTTTGTTGAGGTTCACAAATGCAGAGAAAATAAAGAGAACAGGAGAGCAGACTCCAGATGTCTTTCTCTCTTTCTCTTTCTCTCTCTCTCTCCCTCCCCAGCCCCTCCACCATCTCTTTCCCCCTCTCTGTCCCCCTCCCTCCCTCCTGTCTCTTCTCTGTTCTCTCTCTCTTTCTTTCTGACTCTAAGTGGATTTCTTTTTCCTTTTGCAAATGTCCCAATAAAGATAATAATGTGTTTATTTGTATGACAAAACATTTGATATGTATAACCCTCAAAGCCCTGGCTATGTCCTGGAAGTTTAGAAATTTTAGCAGAGGTTGGTTATTGGTAATGTCATTGGCAATGGCAATGGTTTTTTTGATGGAAATGTACCTGTCTCTGACAGCTCTGGATATAGCAGAATGCAAGAGCTGGACCACTATGATTTCCCATCCCATCTCTTGGTATGATCTCAGTTCTGATCTCCCATGTCTTGAAAGGACTGGTTATTTGGAAGTTAAACTTAGGGAACTTATCATTTCGTTTAAAAATTTTGTCTGTCTGTCTGTTTGTTTATTAGATGAGTCAGATGAAGCTCCACGCACCTGATCTGCCAGTAGAGGGCAATGAGCCTCCAGCTTCTTTTGTGAGTTAACACTTTCTCTTAAGTATTCCTTCCAATTAGAAGGTCAGAGTTAAAAAAAAAAAAAAAAAAAAAAAAACTATCACTTCCAAACTAATCTCAAGGAAATACTATTAAGAGAAATGACCCATGATGCCCAGTTATTTCCTTAGAAGAATGTTAAAATTTTTGTGAGTATTAATATAAAATATAGATTTTCCCACAAAACTTTTTGAAATGCAAAATGTGAGAAGGTTATAGTCCTATGTTTAACCCCTTAATCTGAATTACTGGGTCCACAATGCTGGTAACTTTTTTTTTTTTTTTTGCTATTTTATTTTTTTTATAATTTTTTAATTTTTTTATAAACATATAATGTATTATTACCCCCAGGGGTACAGGTCTGTGAATCGCCAGGTTTACACATTTCACAGCTCTTGCCATAGCACATACCCTCCCCAGTGTGCTGGTAACTTGTTATAAGAAGAGAACCAATCTGCTCCCTAGAGTGGCATCTTCATTATCCATCTGTTGGCACTGGCTTATTTCTGAATGGCCTTACTTCTTGAATTTCTGGGGGGGGAAAAAAAAAAAATATATATATATATATATATGTATATACCTAAATGAAAACACTTGAACTTACCGATTTAAACTATTTTCATGGGTAGGAGCATGAGTTCTCCCTTTCTGAAAATGATTTAAGCCTTTCCATTAAGCACATCTATTTTCAAGGCCCCATCTTTGAATTAACTTTATTTTACCTTTTCATTAGCTAATTACAAAGCCAGATTTTCCACCACCACCGATTCCTACATCTGTGTCAACTTCTTTCTTTGTAAGTACCAGGAAGTCACTGATGATTTTTTTAATGTCTTTTGGGCCCCATGTGGGTAGTGTCTCTAAATCTACAGATTCTTTCTCAGGAGACACACTCTCTAGGTCAACCTGAGCTACTGTAGCACACAAGTATATCTGAGAAAGCAAGGCCTACTTTCTATCTATAAATTAGTATGAATATTAGTTTTTTATTATTAAAAATAGTTCTACCGTTATCTCATCATCAAAAAATGATAAATAGTTTTGCTCTAGGAAGTAAACAGTCTCCTTTCTAGATACTTATTTTGGAGAATATAATAATAAAATTTTATATTCTCCAAAGTAAGTATCTAGAAAGGAGACTTTATTATATAAGGCTTATATTAGCCACAGTTTTGTATAGAAGTTGGGGTACAAAAACAGACCATATGTAGGCAAACCTGGAATAAAAGTTAGGCACTTAAAAAGTAAAAGGTAAAATTCATTCACTCAAGTAATTACTGAACATGTTCCTACTTGGTACTCTGTTGTCGATAAATGAGAAAGAACTAAAATTAAAGTCATTTTTTCAAGAATGTTTACATTTTTAGGGTGAAAACAAGTCATATGTGTATAGAGCGCTTAATCTTTCACATATTTTTTTGTGCCAAAGCAAGTGATAACTAATGAAAAGAATGTGGTAAAGGGGAAAATGAATGGACTCATAGTAGTTAAAGTAAGAGAAAGATCCACTGGCTAAGTGGTTGAAATCGGAACTAGAGTGATGGGGAGGTAAGAGATGACTTAAATAAGGAAATAAATATGCCTAGGATTGGGAAAGAATAACATTTCTAATGACTTACTATTATTTTTGTCTCTCATATAGCATAATGCCACGAAGGTACTTCCCTCTACTGTTTTTAAAGACAAAATAATGTCAACACCTAAGGTAAGAGATCCACAGGAAAATGTAATCTTGTCACACTCCTACTGTCAAGGAGAGAAGTTCTAATTGTGTCTTCCTAGAAAATGTTCACTAAGAAGAGTATCTATATGATCATAGGATGAGAGCTAAGACATGTCTACCTTCCTAGTGTGGTCAAAACCAAGAGGAAGAAGACGGAAAGGTTTTAGCTAGATAGAGGACATGTCCCATCGGATGATCGCCCAGTGTCTCACCACTCTTCTCTTGATCCCTCACCTTCTCCATATTACGTCCATTAGTCAGATGGATATTTGGATCCTAATGTAATTTTTCTCCCGTTCTTTCTCTGCCTTCCCATGTTTGCACTCCTTCACTGTGGTGTATCCAATAATCTGTAAAATAGGAAGTGCGACTACAAAGAATTCATTTTAATTTCCTAATAGTTCCAAGTTATAGAATATCTAACTTTTTAGAATTACGTAGATGGCTTAAGAACTTTGTCTCTTTCAGGGTTCCAATCCAAATGTCTGAAACAGCAGCTAAGCAAGGATGGGTGGGGTAATGATCAACTTGGAAGACTGGATAATCTGGGTGGAAGAGAAAGATACTTTCTCCTTATTATTAGCTCTTGATTACTTAAGGATGTTAACATTTCTTGATACATGTTGTGCTTTGAGGCGACTCAACAAAAATTTTCAAGAGAGAGAATCTGCATGAATTCACCATTTCTATCTTCCATACTCATGGGAGAGGAGAGGACTCTAAACAAACAGCTGTACATCTAAAATCTCTAATTAGGTGCCTTTCTTAACCACTCCCCCTTTTCTTATTGTGATGTTGACTAATATTTCCTCAGGTATTTTGAACATCTTGATTTGAGGGTAAGAAATAATTTACCCTCTAATTAAAGCAAACAAATGAAAAAGTCCCCAGGAAATCACAGGAAACTGGGAGGGATGGAAGAAAATTTTACGTTCATCATTAGATGACAAGCAGCATCTTGACTGTTTTAACCATAAACCTGTCAAATTAGAACTGTAAGAACAAAATTATATAAATAACCTCTGATTTAGGAGTGCCTGGGTGGCTCAGTGGGTTAAAGCCTCTGCCTTCAGCTCAGGTCATGATCCCAGGGTCCTGGGATCGAGCCCTGCATCGGACTCTCTACTCGGCAGGGAGCCTGCTTTGCTTCCTCTCTCTCTGCCTGCCTCTCTGCCTACTTGTAACCTCTGTCTATCAAATAAATAAATAAAATATTTTAAATAAAAAAAAAACCTCTGATTTAAATAACATCTTTTTCCTACATTATCTTTTGCAATCTTTATTAGCTGAGTCATTTGAAGTTTGCTACAAGTGAATAAAACTTTATTAATTAAAATTTTTACACAGAAATTTGTATAATTCAGTTACTGGCAAGCTTAAAGCAAACTTCACTTTCTAAGTAGAGAAAGTTCTAATTGCATAAACGGATAGCATAAACCAGATGTTGACAACTGGTAGCTTGCAGGACATATCTGGACTACAGATTGATTTTATTTGGCCGGGGTGATTTTGGTCATAAAGTATTTTTAAATGTTTTGAATTTAAATGTTTGTTGATTGCCAATATTTAAAAATTGGGAGATCTTGCATAAACATCCAGATTTCCAGCTTTGTAAAAGTAATCAAATGATCTGGCAGCCCTGGACTCACATCGCCCATAACAACCATTAGCTTAGTTGACTGATGTTGGAATAAACATTGTTGGTTGCCTTCCAAATAACCTTCTTCCTCCTTGTTTTCAGAACCCCAGTTTTATTCAGTTGTAGATATTTTAGAAAAGGCGATCCTGATTCCATATCCAGGATAAATCTCTATCATTTTAAGTCAATCGTAATAATCTTATTTTCCTTACTACCCCCAACCCCACCTTTCTTCTTTCTTTCTTCCTTCCTTCTTTCCCTTCTTTCCTTTTCTTTTTCTTTTCTTTCTTCTTTTTTTTTTTTGCCAATGAGACAAGAGAAGAGATATGTTGAGAAATTTTCACAAAAGATATCCTGCCCCTTCTTCTGGATGTTGGGATCTGAATAGCCTCTCTGGTAGTGTTGCAACCATGTTGTGATTATGAGGTCAAGGCTGATATACTGAATAAAATAGATCAAAGAGATAAAAAGAATAAAACCTGATCTCTTAATGATGTCATTGAATTGATAGATTAATAACTGTGGGAGTTACCCTAAACTTTGCTGGGATTTCCTATTATTTGGTCAATAAAATTTCCTTATTGTTCAAGCCATTTCGAGTTGGATTTCCTTATTTGCTACAGAAATCATCTCAACTAATAAAGTTGCTGCTTCCGTGATTAGGGCACGTGATTTCCTTGTGTGCAGTTATAGGGCCACTTCATCAGCACCATGATTTCCGTTTGTTTTTTATACTTGGCCTGCTTTACCCATTTACACCATGGACCTGGCCCACACCCCTTCCTTTCCTTGGGGAAACTCTTTTTTTTTTTTTTTCAGATTTTATTTATTTAGTTGACAAACAGAGATCACAAGTAGGCAGAGAGGCAGGCAGAGAGAGGAAGGGAAACAGACTCCCTGCTGAATAGAGAGCCTGATCCAGGACTCGATCCCAGGATCCTGGGATCATGACCTGAGCCGAAGGCAGAGGGTTTAACCCACTGAGCCACCTAGGCAACCCTCCTTGGGGAAACTTTATCCACAAGGAGTTCTTTTCCCCTTGCAGTGTGAATTTCTGTATAAACTCAATCCCTAGCACACCCAGGGTCCATCAGCCAAATCTCTCCTGTTATAGCAGTCTTTCTTTCCATGTGGGAGTTTACTCAAGAACACATTAAAAACTCTAGCTTTATCTATGAGGTTAGGTTTTGGACGACCTTGCACTAACCCAGAAATAAATCCCTATTTCCCATGAGGCCACAATTTTTCTTATCACAAACCTATAGATCTTTCCTATGTTGTCTTCTTCCTTTGTTTCATGGTTTTTGTTTTAATTCCTGTCCCTGTCAAATTTTTAATATTGGTACAATGGAAATCTTTAACCTATGAATCTTCAACTAGCCACATGACCCGAGCTAGAAATATAACATAGGCTATTAAGAAGAATGTTTCTGTAAATTTTGAAATGATGGCACTAGGTGTCTGATGTGGAGGCTGCACAGCTCCTTATAAGGACAGACAACTGGAGGACAATGATGGGGAAATGATTCTCTTATCCTAAGACTTTGAACCCAAACCCTACAGAGTTTTCTACTGAGTTGAACTGTAGAACAATTTAGACAATTTAAAGCAAAGACTTTGATTTCACAGTCCTGTTTCCAAATTAGATCTGCAACTTACCCACTTTGTAGGAATTCCACAATATGATACTTAACTACCTCAGATATGCCACCAAGCCTGCTCTTAAAATTAGTTATTTTTACTTTCTCTGCTTTAGAATAATAGATTAACTTATGGTCTTATTCAGGTACTCTATGAGTGGTATGCCATACAGTTTCTGTACATACTCCTTAACACCTCACCAAGTTACTGCTTTTTATGACATTTGAAAAGGCTTTTAACTTTGCATGAAATGACAAAGTTGTGTGAAGTCTGACTGGAAAAGAAAGCAAGTTTTAGCTGTAATCAGAAATTGTGGAAAGAGTGGGGCTATATGATTTACGTGAGTAATAATGACACCGATATGGTAAGGAATCTAGGGTGGCCTCTGGGTGACGGCCGCAGAGACCTGAGCCTCTCAGCCCGACAATACTCAAGGGACTATTTCTGCCAACAACCACTGAAAGACCTGGGAAGCAGCTTCCAACCCACTTGGGCTTTGATTGCTACTTCATGAGAGAAACTGAAGCAGAAGACTCAGCTAAGATTTGCCCAGATTCTACAAAAACAGAGAAACTATGAGAAACTAAATATATGTTTTTTTAAGCTGCTATGGTTTGGGGAAATTTGTTATGCAGCAATAGATAATGGCTACAAAGGAGTAGAGTTCAAATGTTTTGAATATTCCAGATAGGTTTAGGTAGAATTAACTACTATCTTTAACAGGAATTCCATCATTTCAAAACCTTTTTCCTTTTTCTCTCTTTATATTCTTTCTGTATCCTTTCTTTTTTAAAAAGTATCAGTTATCTGCTTGAGATTTCTGATATCCAGTCTTCTCATATATCGTGTTTTCTCTCACATCCATTTGCCTGTTTCCTTGGTCTTTTTGAAGAATTCCTGAAGTGTATCTTTTAGACTTATTTTATCTTTTATACTTCAAATGCTCCTTTTTGCTAATTTTAAGGAATTTTATAACTATTTCTCATATTTGCTTAATAAGAATCTCTTCTTTCTTATCTCACTTCTGTTTTATAAAGGCCAGCTAATGAGCTATTTTTGCCTTTGTTTCCAGAATTTTACTTTTAAAATTCAATTAGCAAAGCAACTTCTGTCTAAACTTCACCAGTGCTTCTCAAAGTAACTATTTTTCAAAAGTGCATCCTTCCTCAGCCGCTTGAACGTTATGCTTCCCATTTTTCACAGAAACAATTATTTTCATAGGTGATGCGTTGCTATCTTCTAGTTAACTCACCCTTGTGTTTTAAAAGTTGTATCCTGGGGCACCTGGGTGGCTCAGTGGGTTGAGCCTCTGCCTTCAGTTCAGGTCATGATCTCAGGGTCCTGGGATCAAGTCCCACATCGGACTTTCTGCTCAATGGGGAACCTGCTTACCACCCCCCACCTGTCTCTGCCTACTTGTGATCTCTCTCTATCAAATAAATAAATAAAATCTTTAAAAAAAGCTGTATCCTGACCTGTGATATTCTTACATTTTATATCTTTGATGAAAGAATCTATCTCTTCAGCTAAAGAGCTTCAGTACAACTAAAATTCTGAGTGTAATTTGCAAATAGCTTGTGCCATGGGTAAACCTTTAAGCATCTGACCCTTGATATGCATATTCTTCTCTGCCCAAGATTCTCTTTTCTTTTAAGCTAAAACTGTCTACCAAGGCCACATCAGGAGTGGAACACCTTGTTGGTGATACTGAGATCTACCTCATCAGGCCTTCCTGATTCATTATGCGAAGGTCTCCACCAACAAAACCTGCAACCGCCTTGGCATATCTGCTTTTGAATTTGCCTTGTCTTTTCTGTTGCTTCCAGAAAAAGATCTTCCCTTGCCAATGACAACTTTAGACACTGCTTAGCAACTAGCCCCAGGCCGTCTGCTTTGTGGCTCATCAGTAGTACAATATTACTATTATTATCATGCTAAGTAAGTAAGACTGTAATAGGAGCTAAATCCCCAAGCAGAAGACAATTATGGTATGTTATTTATTGTGAAGGCATCTTCTTGATGAAATTTAACTCTTTTCTTTCTCATACCTAATGTTGAAATCCAAACTTTTTTTTATAAATTAAAAAAAAAAGCTATTATGGTGAGATCACTTGACTTGAAACGTACCTCCTAACAGGTTTTAAAGTATAAATGCAACATTGTTACCTATAAACACAATGTTGTATAGCAGATCTCCAAAGTTTGTTTATCTTGCATAATT